ACAAGTATTTGGGGCAACCCAGAGCTATTGAATTATCGGCCACAGGGCCTAAGTGTAGAGGCAAAAGCAGATCAGTTACTTTCGCACTGTATGAGTCCAAAGCAGACAAGTGGGCCCTGGCACCTGCGGTGCGATGGGCTCAGGAAGTTTGGGCCGCAGGCATTGGCAAAGCTGGACCCGTGGGAACCTTGGGGATCAGACAACTAAAACCAGTATGGGAAAGTACTGAACCACGCTCTGGACTCAAGTACCGTCAAGTTCGAGGACCTGTTACAGCGGCGGCCCACGCCCTCGATCGGATCGGATGGACATTTCAAGGACCTTCCGTGCTGAAAACGCACGAGGGCAAGCTGTTCTCGTTCGTTGATATTTTGCCCAAGCTGCTGGAGCACTGGATTCAGGATGCTTGCACCAGGACTTGGGAGATAAAAGCTGCCAAGAGTCTCAGACAGATTCAGGAAGTTCCCAGGGTGTGTCTCGATGTCGCTAGGAGAATGTCGAACGCCTCTGGAAAAGAAAAACTGCCCGGGGGTCAGGCGGCCCTTCTGAGGGCTGTATTGTGCCAGGCTTACTGGACCACCAGTAGGGCGGCTTCTGCAGGATATGACCTAGAGGATTCCTGCCCACTGCGTGGACGAGCAGGTGACATCATTGCGCACAGGTTGTACTACTGCCAGGCGGAGGAGGCCGTGATCCGTAGGAATGAGCTAATAGACCAGACCCTATTAGCTAAGTGTATAGAACACGCTGAACATGATTCAGTTCTGCCGTTCGGAATTCTACCGCACCCTGAGGCGGACCGAGATGGATTCCCCCCACCCGCCAGGGAGTTTTCCATGGATATAAGACATGTAGATTCTTCGGAACCAGTTGCTAGATGCTCTTTGGGGCCTCACACGGGCTCTGATGGCACCTGCACTCGATCGGGGCTCAGATGCCTGGATCGAGCCGCCTGGGCTGTCTGTGGGTTTTCTTTTGAAAAAAAAAAAAAAAAAAAAAAAAAAAAAAAAAAAAAAAAAAAAAAAAAAAAAAAAAAAAAAAAAAAAGGAGCTTGAGGTTGTCATTTCAGGCCCAGTTTTCTTCCCTCTACCGCAGACCCCCCAGGCGGCCGAACATTTAGGATTCCTTATGTTGCAACAGATGCTGACGCAGGAGTCCACCGCCCATGTAGATTGTAAAGCTGTGCTTGACGGGTTTCACAACCTTTGACTGCTAGCCTCTCTTATAGGAACATGTATTCTGGCACGTTTCGCACGGCTCTAGGGAGTGACAGCAGGCACTTTCTTAAAGCTGCGTTGAAGGTTGAAGCACATCAGGACGAAGAAAAAGTTCGGCCTGAGGACAGTCTGCCATTTCGGATAAACAAGCAGTGTGACAAATTTGTTAAGCCGGCCCTCCAAATGCATCCGTCGTTCGACCCGTCGGCGGTATTTTTACTTGATGAGCAAAAGGAGGACGCCGCTAGCATACTTAAGTTCATGCCGAGGATGCTAGAGGCTTGGCGTAGCAATCCACGCAACGATAGAATACGTAAGTCTGGAGAATTTAAGATACAGCTCAAGCTAGTGCACGACTGGCAAAGAGCTGAACACGTGGAGTGGCGATGTGCGGCTTGCTTCTCTTTCAGCCACTCCGACGAAGCGGCTTCGAGGCGCTGCAACGAACCTTGCAAGCCTTTCTCGAGCGAGTTTAGGGAGCGCCTCAGACAAGTGCACTCCTCCCACGCTCTTTCGGCAGGCACCTGTGGAGACGGCCTGCTGGTTTTCTGCGCAAGATGTGGCAATCATGCCACGTTTGTTTTCAGAGGCCTTCTGGCGGAGCGCAAGGGGCCACCAAAGAGTGGCTCCAGGTATATGGCCCTGAAGAGGTTGCTCAGTGGACTTCACCCTGTGGACGGGAAGCCGTTTCAGGACATTGAGCATTTCCAGGCACTCCAGAGACACCAGAAGGCCAGAGCCTCCAGCTCCAGAGGCTGAAGGCCTACGGGTTCGCCGACCTCGGAGCGGCGCACCTTCTGCCCATGAGTGAAAAAATCCTCCTCCTCCTCCTCCTCCTCCTCCTCCTCCTCCTCCTCCTCCTCCTCCTCCTCCTCCTCCTCCTCCTCCTCCTCCTCCTCCTTTCCTCCGCATCCTCCTCTTCATTTCTGACCTGCCCTCTTCTTCCCTCTTCGTCAGAGTCGACCACCCGCCTGGAGCGCCCTCTGACGACGACTTGTAGGAGGAGGAGGAGGAGGAGGAGGAGGAGGGGGAGGAGGAGCAGCAGAGGAGGAGCAGAGGAGCAGAGGAGGAGGAGGAGGAGGTGAGGAGGAGGAGGAGGATGGAGAGGCCTCGTCCTCCTCATCCTCATCCTTATTTTTTTGCGTTGCGCGGACCATGACCTGGTGTCGCAGCGGCAGCCTTCATTTTCTCCTCCTCCTCCTCCTCCTCCTCCTTTCCCCCTCCTCGCCCTCCTTCCCCTCCTCCTCCTCCTCCTCCTCCTCCTCCTCCCCTCCCCTCCTCTCCTCATGATCATCATCATCGTCATCATCATCATCATCATCATCATCATCGTCATCATCGTCATCATCGTCATTTTCATCCTCTTCCTCATCATCCTCCTCCTCATCCGCCTCCTTCTCCTCTTTCGCCTCCTCTCTCCTCTTCCCTCCTACTCTCTCCTCTTCTTCTCCTCTCTCCTCTTCCCTCCTACTCTCTCCTCTTCCTCCTCCTCCTCGTTCTCCTCCTCTTCCTCCTCCTCCTCCTCCTCCTCCTCCTGATCCTCCTCCTTCTCCTCCTGCTCCTCCTCCTCTTCCTCCTCTTCCTCTTCCTCCGACGACGACGACGAACACGACGACAACGAAGAGGAACGAGGTCCCCAGAGGTCTCTGAAGGTCCGCCGAGGTCTCTGGAGGTCCCCAGTGGAGGCCCCTAGGGGTGTCTGGAGTTCTCCGGCGGCCCTCAGGGGACTCTGGCAGTCTGGGGCTGCCTCTGGAGGTTTCCGCGGCCTGTGGAGAGGAGGAGGATTATGGGCGAAAAACATCGATCAGTATCCGAGGCCTCGCGGGCCAGGCCCCTGGGCCGCGATCCCGCGGATACGGGGCGTGTTTTCGTGGATGCCCCGCGTGGAACGTATCCGTGTGACCGCGTATCCGCGGGAGCGCGCCCGGGAAAGCAGACCGCGAGGGCGCGGATACGGATATGTGCGCCGCTCGTGAGAGGAAGACCAGAGTAACCCTGACGTCGGCAGAGGGCAAGGCCCGGCATCGGCAAGTTCGAGGCGCCTTGCCGCCATCGCCGAGAGGAGTATGGATAACGTTTGCTGGCTGCGTGATCATCACCCGTTGGCCGAAACAGCACCACGCCCAGCAGCAACGCCAGCAGCAGCAATAGCAGCAGCAGCAGCCGCAGTAACACCAGCAGCAGCAGCAGCAACACCACCACCCTGCGTGGTGGCGCTGGCAGAACAGCTCGGCTACAGGGGCTGGCCGCGCCGGCCTCTCGCCCCTGGGCGCCGAGGTCAGAAACGATAGGACCAGAGTAGCCCAGGATGCATCAGCGATGCTTACCCTCCCGCCCCCAGCGCCTTCCTGCAAGACTTCCCTGTCGCTACCAGAAGCACGCCCCTGCCAAAAGCCAGGCCTGCAGTTCAGGCGAGCGCCCCGCTTTGAAAAGGAGTTGTCCTGCACCCTTCCACCGAGTCAGAAAGAATGCTAAAAGATATGGGACCGTACATGGACGTTACATTCGAACCCTGTGGCCCAAGATGCCCCCCAGACCCCCCGAAATTGATATTGATGGCGTGGCGACGGGGGGGGCGTGAGTGGACAGAAATATTCGAACCCCAAAGCACCGCCTTTACTGAGATCAACATTGATGTCGGGGACTCGGGGGTGATTTAGAATCTCCCTCGAATGTGTAAGGGTTCGAATAGATTGTCCATCTACTGGAGCACACGTTAGCGAGGCATCCAGCGAGGTCCCCGTGTTGTGAAAGGACCGCCCCAATCAGTCCGTTGCTCCTATTACGCGCTCTTGAATCTCGGCTGAGCAGTTTCGAGGAAAGATCAAAAGGATGACCCAATTTTGAAACAGAGCCACCCTCCATCCGCGCAGCTGCCACACGCGTTCAGGGTCCTCACTATATCCTTTTTAATTACAAGGGAGAGAGAGAGAGAGAGAGAAAAAAAAAAAAAAGAAAGAAAAAACATGTTCTTGAGCGAAGAACAATAGTGAAAAGGAATCGTCCTCCATCCGTGTAAGTATTGCTAGCTTGTGCGACACAGGCGCGCGACGCACAAGAGATAGCCGCATCTTGAATCGGAGCCGCCTTCCATTCTTGAAATTAATATTTGCGCTTGTGCAAGTCGCATGTGCGCTTCGCTAAGGCGAGATGCCAATTGGGAAAACACCCTTCATCCACCGTTAAACTGTTGCAAACCTGTATCACGAATGCACGCGGCGCTGAGGCGAGAGCCCCATTCTGACCCCCCCCATTCCATCTTTGCAAGTCTCGCGAACGTTCAAAACGACTGCACGCAGCATTGAGGCGACCGCCCCATTTGGAAAGCGGCCCTGCCTCCATCCTGAAAGCTGGTGCAAACGTTTCTGATTCATGCGCGTGGCGCTCAGTCGAATGCTCCATTTGAAACCACCGCCCCGCCACCCCTCCATCCTGGAAGCTGATGCAAGCTTCAAGCTTCAGGGATATAAGTGGTGAGGAAAGCTCAGGCAAAACGCCCCGCCACCCTACCGACACGTCTGCGGGTGCGACAGGGAGGGCCATTTGATGCGAAACGTGATGGAGAGCAGGAGGAGGAGAGGCGAGGAGGGAGGAGAAGGATCAGGCGATGTGGGAGGAGAAGTATAAGGCGAGGAGGATGAGGAGAAGGCGAGGATGGAGAAGGGAGGAAGAGGAGGAGGAGGCGAGGAGGGAGAAGGGGGAGGAGGAGGAGCGAGGAAGAGGAGGAGGAGGAGGAGGAGGAGGAAGAGGAAGACCACCCTCCCCCCCCACCCCCTCCACCAGACAAGCCCCGCTGGCCCTGCGCTCGGGGCGGCCCCCCGAGAAGCTCGGGGCGGACGAAGGGGGGGGGCGCACGACAGCTGTTGCGTGCAGCTGGTCTCCGCGCCGCATCTTCGACACGCCCAGATCCCCGACGATGTGAGTTCTCATTCCGCGCGTTTTCCTCCATTTTTCGGGCCCCGGAAACGGATCGCGGGCGCGGAGCTGACCTTGCAGGAGGAGCCGCGCGTGCCGGGGCCGCGGCTCGAGCGGAGGACCTCTTGGAGGACATCTGCGCACGCGCGGGGCGCGGCGGAAGGGGCCTCGCCTTCGGCACTGCGCCTCGCCCTGGGCGCGGAGGCCGGCGGATCTTCAGATGGCGGCGGTGCTTCCGCCGGCGGAAGGCCGAAGGAAGCAAAGCGTGGCTCCGGAGACGGGGTCCATGCCAACAGGGGTCCGTCAGAGCTCCGCTTCTTGCGGGGCCCTGCGGAGCCAGGCCTGCATCCACCCAGGCCTGGGCGCAGGACCCTGCAGGATCCTGCAGGGCCCAACTGGCCCAGGTCTGGATTGACCCGAGCCAGCAGCTCCCCGAGTAATGGTGAGACTGAAGTTAAGGCGGGCGTGTCCCTCTACAGGGGGAATATTCAAAAATAGTCCCCCAAAAAACAGTCTGGGGACAATTGTTTTACTATTTTTGAGCATTCGGGGGGGGCATTTTCTGAGTATTTTTTATTTTTCGTCCAAGATCCCCATGTAGGGGGACACGCCCGACTTAAAAGTAGGTCATCTGGGAGTCCAAGACTCGAATCTGCTTTCAGAGCCTTTTCCTACTTCAGTGATCGAGTGGCTTCGCCTCTCCTCCGCCCTCTTCCAGGGGGCGGGCGGGCACCCCACCTGTTTTCAGCGCCGCCCTGCTTCATGCTTCTGCCTGCTTCTTCCAACCGATGGGTGAGGATGGTCGGCTTCCCAGGGGCACCCCATCGGTCATCTTCGGCCCACCTTCGAACCACTCTCGGCGGCCGGCCCCGCCCCAGAAGCTCCGGCATGGCCGTCCGAAGCCCTTGCATCCTTGTCGCTGTCGCGCATCCTCACCATCAGCAGGAGGAGAAAAGAAACACACAGACACAAACAGATGGGAAAATATGGGAAGGGGGGGGGAAGACAAACACCCAGAAAACACGGGAAAATATGGGGACTAGTTTTATTTGTGTGCATTTGTTTGTGTGTGTCCCAGGGCCCCTTCATACATCAGCTTGGGCTGCACGGCGAAAGGAGGGGGCCGCAGGCCCCGGCCGCTGCTGCCCGCAACGTTGCAGCACGCTCTTGCGGCGTCGGTTATCATCAGAGCGTGAATTACCTACCCCGCTTTCGCTTCCAGGAAAAACCAAGCCATACCACGCGCCTCCTCGTCAAGCGGCCTGACCAGTACAGGCCGTAGTTTGGCATCGCTTGGTATCTCTTGGAAGCGAGGGTGGTCAAAAGCGAGGTAGGTTTGTTTGTCCCCTATATCAGTCGACTAGACGTAAGAGTGACCTTTCGCGGGAGTGACCTTTGGTGCGGGCACAGATGGGCCCCCGGATGGCTGAGAACGAAGCAGGAGCAGCGGCTTGCGCGACCAGGCTTGGTCCCCCCGCGGCCCCCAAAAAGCCGCGCACCAAGGGTCACTCTTACCCAGGGTCACCCTTGCGTGTCGCCGAATCCGGGGCTCTCCGCGACAGGGGGTCGACCTGGGACCGTCGGCCGGGGTGGCGCCCCCGTGGCGCTTCTCGGGAGCTGCACATACGGGGGCGGCAGAGAGGGGGGTGGTGACTGGGGGGGAGGGGGGAGATCATGGCGGGGGCCATGATGTTTCCCCAGATTTCACGGCGCCCCTTCTTCTTTCATCACGTCCCCAGCCCCCCCGCTGGGCCGCGCACATGCCGCCGGTCATGCTTTGCACCCCCCCCTCTTGGCCGCTCCCGACACATGCCGGCCCCTCTTGCGAGCCTCCCTGAGGCCCCGGCCCTGTCCCCAGGTCCGGTGTTCCACCCTGGTTGGTCTTGTTGGCGGGCCCTGGGGTTCAGTCGGGCCTGTCCCCCAACAGGAAGAATATTCAAAAACAGTTTTAGAAAATAATCCAGGGGCGATCTTTTGACTATCGTTGGGCATTTGGGGGGTATTTTGGGGGTATCTTTTATTTTTCGTCCAAAATCCGCTTGTAGACGCGCTCGACCTAACCCTGGGGCCCCGTGAGGACCCCCAGAGGCCGAAACCAGCGAACGGCATCTGCGTTCGAGTTCTGCCCCTGCGCTGGAGTCCTGGGCTGCCGACCCGTCCCCTGCCTCGTCCGCCGCCGAAGCCCCCTGGGATCCCGCGCCTTCGTGGGCGCCCCCAGCGCCAGGAGGCGCCAGAAAGCCAGTCGCGTGAGCTGATTTGCCCCCCCCCCCCCCCATTTTGTCCGTCGGAGGTGGATAGACCTCCTACCCTGACACGTCGATTAAGGAACTGGCCGCTTTCGGTTCGCGAGAGGGCGTCGCGGCCGTCATTTTCCCGGGACCAGGTCCGTCGGTTTCGGTTCCAGACCGTTTTCGTTAAGGGGAGGTTTATTACAGGGAGGTCTGCCCCCCCCCCATTCTGTCAGGCTCGGACCAAGGAGCCGAAGGGATGGTGGCTCTGTCGGCGACCGTGGCCTTGGGAACTCCGCGGGCCCTCCAGAAATCCCCGTGGGGGGAAACAGAAGACAATAAAAGATTGCCGGGCAGGGAGGCGGCATCGCTCCAGGGCGTTCCCGAGCTTGCTCCCGGAGCGCTCCGGAGCGCTCTGGGACGACCGCGGCGCCCGACGCGCCCTGAGGACCCGCCAGCTCAGAGATCCCCGGTGATCCCCATCCGAGTTGACCCTCATCCTGAGGAGGAGGAGGAGGAGGAGGCGGAGGAGGAAGAGGTGGGGGAGGGGGAGGAGGAGGAGGAGGAGGAGGAGGAGGAGGAGGAGGAGGAGGAGGAGGAGGAGGAGGAGGAGGATAAGGATAATGCTTTTGAACCTGCCTTCGTTCTACCCCGAGATCCGACGTCGTGATTTCTTCGCAGCGCGGCTCCTCACAGGTCTGGGCCACTTTCCCTGGGCCGGCTCTGCAGCTCGAGCCGTTCCTCGACGCCCCCGAGGCCCGGTGCGGGGCCCCCCGGAGGCCAAAAAGTTGCCCAAGAAAGTCCGTCGTGATTATGCCACATCGCAGCGGGATGTGGGCCCGGGGGTGAAAGCCCAACCCCTGGACACACCTTTGGTGCATTTCTAGTCGGAATGTTGAGGCGAATCCAGCTGTGGCGACGAGAAGCTTCCCCGAAGCGCAAGGAGAGCCCAAAACGCCCCCAGACAAAACACGCACCTCGAGCCTCGAACCTCGTACTTTGCTGACCCCGCTTCCGTCCGACCCGAGCAGCCCGCCTTCCGCCCCCGCGGCGCCCTGGCGGGCGCGATGTCTGGCGCGGCGCGCGACGTGGAGGCGGAGGCGGCCGCGGGCGCGGAGGACGTGGGCTCCCCGCCGCGCGCGCGCGGGTCTGGGCCGCTGCGCCGCTGCCCCCGCGCCCGCCCAGGCCTCTCGCGAGAGGGGTGTGGGGGAGACGGTCAGGATCCACATCCTCGAGCTTCGATCCTCCTTCTCCTGCTCCCCCTCCCCCTCCTCCTCCTCCTCCTCCTCCTCCTCCTCCTCCTCCTCCTCCTCCTCCTCCTCCTCCTCCCTCCTCCTCCTCCTCCTCCTCCTCCTCCTCCTCCTCCTCCTCCTCCTCCTCCCTCCTCCTCCTCCTCCTCCTCCTCCTCCTCCTCCCTCCTCCTCCCCCTTCTCCTCCTCCTCCTCCTCCTCCTCCTCCTCCCCTCCTCCTCCCCCTCCTCCTCCTATCCCCTCCTCCTCCTCCATCCTCCTCCCTCCTCCTCCTCCTCCTCCCCCTCCTCCGCCTCCCCCTCCTCCTCCACCTCCTCCTCCTCCTCCTCCTCCTTCTCCATTCCTTCTCCTCATAAATAGTTTGTCCCTGTCGCACCCCGAGGCCAGCTTTTAGGGCAGGACGGGCGGGACGGGCGTTTCGCTTGAGACTCCCTCTCCAGTTATGACCCTGAGGCTTAAAAGTTGGCCACAGTTTCACAGATAGAGGGCGGGTCGTTTTCAGAATGCGGCTCTCGCCTTAGCGCCGCGTACATTCGTTTTTCAAATTTGCCAAAGCTTCACGGATTGAAGGCGAAACGTTTTCAACATGTGGTTCTCGCTTTAGCGCCGCGCACATTCGTTCAGAAATGCAAGAGCTTCACTGATTGAGGGCGGTTCTTTTTCAAAATGTGGTTCTCGCCTTAGCGCTGCGCACATTCGATTCTAAAGATTGCAAGAGTATCACGGATTCCCATGATCAGCGTACCAGAAATGGTTTTGGACGGATTCAGGATTATGAGGGCACAACAGTTACGTTGATTCGCGGTGTTGAAGTAGCAGGAATGGCGTTCCGGCACGATTCAGGATCGTCAAGACGGAAAGAGCGCGTTCTGTGGTCGGTTGGAGGGGGGGGGGAGTTGGAACCGGACCCCCCCCCCACCCCTTTGGATGGAGGGGGGCGAGGGGGGGGGTTCGAACCCCCCCCCATCCCCTCTCTCCCTCCTCGGCTGGCGGCGGCGGCGGGGGGGGCGACGATTTCCTTTTCTGGGCCGGCGCCGGCGCCTGCGGCGGCGGGCGGCGGCGGGAGCGTCGACGAGGACGGTTGGTGGTGGGTTGTGGTGGTGGTGGTGGTGGTGGTGGGTGGTGGGTTGTGGTGGTGGTGGTGTGTGGTGGTTCTTGTTGGTGGTGGTGGTGGTGTGGTGGTGGTGTGTTGGTGGTTGTTTGTCGTGGTGGTGGTGGTGGTGGTGGTGGTGGTGGTGGTGGTGGGTGGTGGTGGTGGTGGTGTGGTGGTGGTGTGGTGGGTTGTGGTGGTGGTGTGGTGGTGGTGGTGTGGTGGTGGTGTGGTGGTGGTGGTGGTGGTGGTGGTGGTGGTGGTGGTGGTGGTGGTGGTGGTGGTGGTGGTGGTGGTGGGTGGTGGTGGCGGTTGTTTGTGGAGGTGGTGTGGTAGTGGTGGTGGTGGGTTTTTGTGGTGACCCTGGCGATGGTGAGTTGTGGTGGTGGTGTCTGTGGTGGTGGTGGCTGTGGTGGTGGTGGTGTTTGTGTGGTGGGTTGGTGAAGGTGGTGGTGGTGGTGGTGGATGGAGGCGGTGGTGGTAGGTGGTGGTGGTAGTCATGGTTATCGTGGCTGCGTCCCCGCTGTCGCTGGCGCCAGCGCCAGCGCTTCTGGCCGCCGCCAATGCCGGCGCCGGCGCCAGGGGGGGGTGGTTTGAAACTCCCCCCCTTCCTCGGCGCCAGGGGGGGGGGAGGGGGTTGAACCCCCCCCCCTTTTGGGCTGCCTCTGGTCATCGTCGCTGCGTCCCCGCCGTTGGCGCTGCTGGCGGCCGCCGGCGCCGGCGCCAAAGGGGGGGGGGGCTTCAAACCCCCCCACCCTTGGGAGGGGGGGGGGTTCGGGAGGGGGTGGGTGTGGGGGGGAGGGGAGCCCCCTTGGCTTTTATCGACGGCGCCGAGTGTTGGGGGGGGTCCCACCCCCCGTTTCGAAACGCGCCGCCGAATGTTCCCAAGGCAAGCGCCCGTGAAACGAGCCCTCTCTCAAGACGCAACAGTCAGGTCGGATGCTTTCCAACGAGGCAGCTCCCTCAGCGGACATGGACATGAATCGTTGTAGGGGCCTATGAAGAGGGACCTTGGAGAAAGGGTTTAATCGAACATCGTTGACGGTTCTTGGGTTTACACTGGTCCTCCTCCAACTCCTCCTCATCCTCCTCTTCATCTTCGATCCTCTTCGATCCCCAATCCTGGGGAGGGTCGGGCAACGATTTCGACCTCGAGATTCGAGGTTTTCGGGCGTCGTCGTCGGTTCTCGGCGGATTTTCGTGTTCGGAGTGCTCCCCAGCAGCTGCGCCTCGTTAGGAGGCGTCTAAGGGTGCCCGGATCGTCCCGAACGGCCGCCAGAGAGCCGATTTATGACCCGAAGACCAAGGGGGATACGTAAGTTCAGGAGAGGATAGAGCCAGAGGTCTTCGGGCGTTTCCGACAGGTCCTCGGAGATTTTCCTACCTCGGGATGCGTTTCAGTAGCTGGGCCTCGCCGAGAGGCGGCCAGGGGTGCCTGGATCGTCCCAAACGACCGCCGGAGACCAGAGTTACGCCTGAAGACCAGACCCGGCTAGGGCCCCTCGCAACCCCCATCCCACATGCTCCGCTGCCCCGGCGCTGCCCAGACTGACGAGCGGCGAACGTATCCACATCCACGCCTTCGCGGTCTGGATTCCAGGGCGCGTCCCGTGGATGCGCGGTCGCACGGATGCGCCCCGCGCGGGCAGCATCCGCGAAGGAACGCCCTGCATCCACGGGGTTGCGCCCCAGGGGCCTGGCCCGTGGGGCCGTGGATGCGGATACGTTCCTGCCCAAGACAGACCCTGAGGGCCGCACTTCGAACTTCGAGGGTCTGAGGCTTTCGGTTTCTTGGGCTTCGAGTCTCGAAAGTTCGGGAACTCGGCTTCGGAGGGCTGTCGCGGGTTCCTGGGAAGTTTCTCGCCTTAGGGGCGCTTTCCAGCCGCTGCGCCTGGCCGACAGCGTGCCAGGGGTGCCCGAAGCGTCCCGAACGGCCGCCAGAGGCTCGAGGTATGACCCGAAAACCACCCAGAGGAAGAGGAGGATCCATGTTCGATGATCGAGTTTGTGGAACGGCGTTCTGACATCTGGGAGGGGCTCCCCGTCGCCGCGGCTGGGTTCGCCCTGCCTCTCTGTGCAGAACGCATCCCAGGATGGATCCAGGAGGCGATGTTTGACTCACGGATCCAGACCCCCTCGCGCCGGGAAACACGACGAATTCCTTCTTTGCCGTTGTCGGCCTCCCGAGGACCTTACTTGGCCCCACAGCTGTCAAACTCCACAGGTTCACAAACCTGGCAGGGAAATTACAGTCGGGGCCCTGAAGAAGGAACCCTTTTGGTTGGGGAGGGGCTCCGCGTTCCTCAAGTGCTTCACAGCTTGCCTCAGGTTTTCCTTATGTTTTCGATCGGATATCGAAGTTTAGCTTATGGAAAAAAGGGGCCTCGTTCCTTATTAATCGCTTCGCTCATGCCGCCGGCCCTGGAGCCCTCTTTAGGGCCTCTTGGGGGCCTCTTGGGGACCTCTTGGGAGTCTCTTGGGGCTCCTTGGCGGCGTTTTGAAGGCCCCCAGGGCCTCTTGGGGGGCTCTTGGGGGTAGTCGATTGCGGCTCCCCCCTCGGAGGCCACGATCCTCGTGAGGGGTGTCGAAAAATACCCTCCCCTGGAGTGGTCTGGTGGCTTCTCCCGGGCTTCTCTCGGGACCTTGCCGGGGTACTTTTCGTCCGGGGGCCCCCAGGGGCCGCTCCGCGCGCGCGCGAACTAGAATATTGTTAACAAGTTACCGGAGATCTTAGCACGCCTCTGGCCCGTTGGGCCGGCGAATTTAGGGTTCCTTAGGTCAAGGCCCCGACTGTAAGCCTGAGTTGACCATGCCACACATCTGCTGCACGCCCGTGTAGCACACAGTGGTACGCCATGCCGTGAGCTGCTGGGCCCCCCTAGCGAGCGGGCTGACCGCAGCAGGCGGTCGGGCGAGGCGGGGCGGGAGAGCAGGCAGACCCCGACGGGCGAGGCGGTCGGTTGGGCCAACTGGGCTGGCAGACCTTGTCGGGCGGGCGGGGCGGGCGGGACCCTCAAGCGGGCCAGCGGCGAGGCAGTCCCAGGCGACGGCGCGGTTCCCAAGTAGCGAGACAGTGGTCCAGGCGGAAGTGATTCGGAAGGCCCAAGCGACAGCGCAGTTCCTGAGCGACTTGCGAGCATGCCCTGGCGAGAGCACGGTCGCGAATAAGCCGAAAGAAAACTTCAAAAGTTGCAAGGGGGTCCAGGGCGAGAGCGCGGTTCTTGAGCAAGCACCACGGAAGTGTCGGTGGAGAGCGCGATTTTTGAGAAGAGTGTGAGGAAATATCAGGCGTGAGCCGTTCTTGCTGCGGTCGTGGAACTAAGGGCGCAGTTTGAGCGGGAAGACGTTATTTGACAAGCAGCGGGTGATAGATGTATATATATATATATATATATATATACATATATGTGTATATATATATATGTGCATGTGGGTATGTGTGTATGGATTTATGTATGTATGTATGTATGTATGGATGGATGGATGGATGGATGGATGGATGGATGGATGGATGGATGGATGGATGGACGGATGGATGGATGGATGTATGTGTGTGTATGTATGTATGTATGTATGTATGTATGTATGTATGTATGTATGTATGTATGTATGTATGTATGCATGTCGAGGAGTATGTGTAAATACGCACGCTCACATACAAAAACACATGTATGTAGAGGCCGCCACATGTCTTAGTATACATAGATGTGCACATTCATGCCTTCCTATCTATCGATCTACCTACCTACATACATACATACATACATGTGTACATGCG